TTAGATACTTGCGAATGAAATCAAATATGGAGCAAATAAATAAGAAAAATAATAAGAGTTAATTTTTTGATTATACATCACTGATTTAATTAATAAACCTCGCGGATGTAGTAATCAAAAAGCAAAAAGAGAGAATCCCACTATGCAATAGCAGGTCAATTTTTGTTGTTCGACTTTATTCCACGAAAGCCTTAAACTATGTGATTGTGGCAGGTCTCCTGACTTGTTCCATCTTTAAACAACCTTCTCATTCGCCTCGGCGAACAATGGCATTAGTAAGGTTTAAAGACTTATATAGAACTTACAGTAGCGGGTCTGCTCAGGATTTGCACCTGATTCCCTTTTAACTATTTTCTTTTATTTTTCTAAAGAAAACAGACCAAAATCTCACGTAAAGATATGATTATCTTTATAAAAAGAAGTACAACGCAACGAAATTACATTTTTAACAATGAATTAACAAAAATACTATTAATAATACAAGTAACTTAAAAGCAAGTTTTTGCCAAATTAATTTGAGTCAAAATACAGCCGTAAGATTGGCAACGATTTCGATCGTTGAGGCTTGGAGAATTGGGTTCTAAAAACACATAACCCAAGGTTGAAAACTTGGGTTATAGTTGAAATAGGATTAGAAATGAAGAATCTAATAAAATGTTTTTTTTTATAAGAAACAAATATTTTATTATCTAAAAATTGTTATGGTATCTGCCAAATTTTCTTTGTAGATAAATGCTTTGATAAATTCCTGGACTTCATTTGTAGTTTCAGAAGGAGTTGCGAAAGAATTGATATGAAACTCATCATCCTGATCGAGGATATGAATAATTTCGGTATAGCCTTTAGAGATTAAACTACCCTTTAATTTAATAATATTCAACTGTTGTTGACTATCCAACTCCTTACGAACTTTTAGTTTTATAGCTTTATCCATTTGTAAATATTTTAAATTATTTGACTCTGATTCATTCTCAAATATAAATATTAATTCGTTACTAATGTTCCTAAAATCGCTTTATAAAACATTATTTATCAACACACTAATAAACAAAAGTTTAAGAAATTGTTATTAATTTTATTAAATCGTTATCTACTTCCTAAATTTAATTTTCTTATATTTTATTCTAACCACTAAATTGATATCGATAATAAAAGCTTCTCTTTTATTAAAATTTCAATAACTTTGGATGCTACTATGCACAATCAACTTAGAGAACATATAGAAAAAATAATTCCTCTTACTGATGAAGAGTTTGCTTTTGTGTGTTCTCATTTTACTTCCAAAAAATTTAAAAAACATCAGTTTCTTATTCAGGAAGGTGATTCTGTAAAGCATTCTTATTTTATCATTTCGGGACTTTTAAAATTGGTATATACTGATGAAAAAGCAAAGCAGCATGTTGTTTCTTTTGCTATGGAAGATTGGTGGGAAAGTGATTACTACGCCTTTTTTACCCAAACTGAAGCTACAATGTCATTAGAATGCCTTGAAGATACTGAAGTACTTTGCTGCTCGTTTGAAGATTATAAAAACCTATGCAACGGCTTGCAGAAAATGGAACGCTTTTTTCTGGAGAAAGCCACTTTTGGTTTTCTGGGATCACAACGCCGCATTGTTTCCTGGCAGACTTCTAACTCTAAAGAGCGTTACGACCAATTATTAAAACAATATCCTTCGCTCCTGCAGCGTGTTCCTAAAAGTCTCATTGCTTCGTATTTAGGCGTTTCGCGCGAAACATTAAGTCGATTATCTTCCTGATGTGACAATTCTCACATCAAAATCGTGAAAAATGTCACGAGTACTTTCCAGCCGTTATGCTCAATTTTGTATTACAATTTTAAACTGTAATTGTGAAAAAAACGGCAAGCCTTTTAGTATTACTATTATTAACTACGATGCCTGTATTGGCACAAACGAAAAAAGGAAAACAAATGGAAAAAAGAGAATTTAATCCTTGGGAATGGCAAAATCAACGCAGTTATGTACAAGCAATTGAAGTAAAAAATCCGCAAGGAACATTATATGTTTCGGGACAAACGGCGATAAATGCTGACGGAATCTCCAGTAATGAAAACATGGAATCGCAAATAAAACTGGCATTGCAAAATCTGGAACAAGTCATTACGGAAGCCGGATATGAATGCAGCGGAATTGTTCGGTTGAATATCTATACTACTGCGACTGATGAACTTTGGCCACATTTTAATCTTATTCAGGATTGGGTGGCGAAACATGGTATGAAACAAGCGACAACTTTACTGGAAGTAAAAAGTCTTTTTGAAACTTTAAAAGTTGAACTCGAAGCGACTGTTGTAAAATAAAGTCTTCATGATATAAAAAAGCTGTGTCTTTCTTTTCAGGAAAAACGCAGCTTTTTTGTTTATTTTTTTTCTTTAAAATTAAAAAATCAAATCAATTTATTTATTTTTTGAAAAGTTTTAAAATAAAAAAGAAGTAAAATCTTCTTACAATTTTAACCTTTAAACAATAGTCTTTCAAACGGTTATCTAAAAAAAACATATAATTCCGTCTATTTTTTTAAATTTTTGCCTTATATTTCAAAACTAAAAATTCAATTTTTACGTAATTACCTCAAACGATAGTCTTGTAATAAGATAAATTCAATTCACTGGTACGTTTTTGGAAAAATATTGAATTTTATCTTATTCCTGATTATCGTTATTTTTTATTAAATTTTAAGAATATTAAGTTTGGACAATATTAATGTACTAAGATTAAAAAGAACTTTAGCTTACCTGGAAAGCAAACAACGTGAATTAAAAAGACAAAACGAAAACGATACCCGAAGTCTTGAGTCTATGATAAAATATCTTAAAAAAGATATGCTGGAACAGTTTAAATTAACCGAGTATGACATTTACATAAAAGGCGAAATTCACAATACCGAAACTTTTATTCAAAGTGTAAAAAGTATTATAGATACTAATTCTAAGTAACTCCATCACAATCTGTCAAAGTACATTAATTATTGAGCTATTTTATTATACTCATCAATTGCTTTATTAGGATCTGCGGTTGCATATTCGTTCTCCGGTTCTGGAATGACATGAATTTTTGAATCGCTTAAAGAAACAATTGCTGAACATACGTAAACACCAATTTTACCTTCGCTGTATTTGTAATCCAGTAAAGTTAGTTTGACGATTTCGTTGATCGAAAGTTCATAATAATTTCCGTAACGAATAATCTTAAAATAAATCTCTTTATTGTCTACAATTTCAAATTGATTGGTTTGAATATTTTCGAAAACAAAATTATTTTTTACATCTTTTTCATTAAATCCCCAGGCTCTAAACTGCACAAAACCATTTACAAAATCAATTGAGATATAATAGGCCGTTCCCTGTTCGTCACATTCGATCACAAAACCAGTTTTTCCCATTCCTTCGACGGCCAGCGTTCCTTCCCAGACAAAATTTTCAGAAGGTTTATCAAAACAAAAAACTTCGTATCCGCTTCGACAGCCAATTCGCCATTTATTTTCATTTTCTACCTCAAAATTTGCCGACGGATTTCCTAAAATAGGCACCGGAACAGGCAAGTTTCTATGGTGAATAGTTCTTTGGTAAAGTGTTCTCCAATGATGATAGGTTTTTAATAATAATCGTCCGTTACTATCAACATCCAGTTGTTTTGGTGGTGGAATTACACGAAGAGTGTTGACATTTCCGCCAACGAAGTAAAAATTATAAATCAAATAATACTCGCCCTCTTTTACAATTCTTGCTGCATAATTACCTTGTGGCATTAAAACATTATTATGAAAAGCATGGTATTCTCCCTTAAAATCCGGAGAAAACCAATAACGCACTTTGATATCTTCGCGAATCGAACCCAGCAAATAATGCATTCCTTTTATTTCTACCACGCAAGGACATTCGATATCATCATAAACGTAAGCCACATGCAATGGTTTTTGCAGTACAAAACCTTTTTCTTCTCGTTTT